GAGTTTATTATGGAGTATGATAAAGCGCACCCAGGACACAAAACCTATACGACTATTCGGCACTACTTGAAGGCGGAGGAGCAACTGAGACGATTAATTTTGGAATCGGACGGTAATTGGGAGGCGGCGCAGCAGAAAAAGCTAACTGCCTTTGAGGAGGTTGCCATTTCATCCAGACATGAAATTCCTAGTAATGTGGCTAATGCGGGTATTGTGAGAAATGTTTTTCCTCAAACTGGGGTTCTTAGTGGGTTTTCTCCATCTTCTCAACTAAATGAGAATTGGATACGTTTACATATGCAAATTATGGATGAGCAGACAAAACTGATGAAGGCGTATAATGACAAACGTTTCCTGAACGCGTCTGTAAATAAAACAATCTCTCTTTGCTATGAACATGGCTGTGATGGGGTGGCAGGACGTTTAAAAAGAGAATTTGGCGTGTCTGACAGGATGCATTGTTGGTCCAGGCTGAATGCATACACGAAGACGTCACAGTGGGAACTCATTGACCAACTTGGTGACGTTAGAAAAAAAGTTAGGCCTGTCATTGGAGCCCCTGCCTTTATCAACACACTACTTGCTTGCGGGCGCCCAGAACACGCTAAGAAATATATACCCAAAGTCCCACAAATTGAACAACGAATGGAGTATTATGTCTTGTGTGGTGATTGGGAAGGGGCCGGGGCAGATTGCCGTCGTAATGGGGAACCGGACCTACTTGCACAGCTGAAGGAACGTGTCAAAGGAAATACTTGTGCGGCGCAGCGTATTGACAAAGGGTGGAACTCTGTCCCAGAGTCGGGGGCATTAAAGCTGGTCAAGTTTTTTGCTTAGTAATCGGAAAATGTCTCTGTGATGTGTCGTCGTCAAAAGGGCCACTATTGCAGAGTACATTTTTTTTATTTTTAGCTTGCTGCTAACACAAAAGTATGTGTTTCTGCCGGAGTGAAAGAGCAGTTAATTTGTGCTTGTATAAGTTTGCATTTTTCTTTCTGAATTGTAGTGTCTTCCCTTCCCTTCCCTTCCTTTCCTCACTTACTGGCTCGCTCTGTCTGTATGTCTGTCTATCTCTATCTCTATCT